TTTTCTTCTGTACTGCAGCAGTTCTTCACGTGGTATCTGGGTGGCTCTTTCAAACGGGTGATCTATATTTCTGGAGGAGTGTCCTTGTTTGGTGAAAGCCTTTTTGAGATTGGTGAGGTGGCAATCCCGGGTGTTCTCTTCAGTACAGATGCAGTGGTATCTGAGGGCTTGGCTGTATATCACAGCTTTTTTGGTGTGTTTAGGGCGATTGCTGGTTCTGTGCAGATAAGTATGTTGCTCTGTGGGCTTCTTGTATAACGTGGTGTGTATTTTATCATTTTGGATACTGACCATCATGTCTAAAAAGGAGATGTTGGTGCTGGAGTATTTTAGAGAAAGTTGGATGGAGGGATGGTGATTGTTGAATTTCTGATGGAACTCAATCAGAGATTGCAGGTTCTCAGTCCAAATGATGAAGATGTCATCGATGTATCTTAGGTATAGTAAGGATTTGATGGTGCAGTTCTTGAGGAAGTCTTCTTCCAGGTGGCTCATAAAAAGGTTGGCATACTGTGGGGCCATTTTAGTGCCCATAGCTGTTCCCATCATCTGGAGGAAGTGTTGATTATTAAAAGTGAAATTGTTGTGTGTGAGGATGAAGTGTATAAGCTCAGTGATATCTTTGGGTCTGTATTCTGGGTTGTAATCTTGTTCCTGTAGATATGTAAGGGGGTGCCATCCTGGTGTGGGATGTTGGTACATAGGCTGGTAACCTCCATGGTGGCTAGGAGGGTGTTGCTGGGAAGGTGGTCTATGTTTTTAAGTTTCTGTGGAAAGTCTGTAGTGTCTTGAACAAAACCTGCTTTGTGGGTGATGAGCGGTTTTAAGATTGATTCAACGAAACCTGATATTTCCACAGTTAGGGTCCCATGGTTGGATATGATAGGTCTGCCAGGGTTCCCTTGTTTGTGGATTTTAGAGAGCATGTAAAAAGTCCCCAGGTTAGGTAGTGTGGGGATCAAGGTCGTAGTTTTTCCACAATTGCTTTTTTTGCTTCTGGGATTTCCCAGTAGCAAAATTTGATCTTACACTGCAAATTTGCAGTGCAGAATACGTTTTAACATTCTGCGCATATAGTTTGTGGCACTGCAAAGAGGCTTGCAGTGCAACAAACCGCACAAGCCTGCATGTCTGGATATGGCTATGGGCTTTAATTTAATCCTGCCCTGACTTGTAACCCTACTGATGCCAACTGAATGGTGCAACTTTAAATCATATCCAATACTCTTCATTTACACATGTGCACAGTCCATTATTTCCAAATTATTTTGGAAAGCGTGTAACATGACAGATTTCCTCTTGAATTTGGGGGCAGTAGGCTCTGCCTTGCCCATTACTTAGTCTTACAAGACAAAGAAGGTCTTTGAAAACAATGGCCTCCTAGCAAATTGTTTATCTTAACAGTTGGCTACAATCACTCTAAGAGTGGTGTCACACGTTTAACTTAACACTAAGTACATTTAAAATGGGAGCAGACACACAATCAAATAATTCCGTAGATGAACCTTTTCAGGGAAGGGTTCTCTCTTAACATGTACTAACTTAAATATGGTCACTACTTTCCAGTGATTTGCAACTGCTGCAAGTGAACGTGTGACAGGGCCCTAAGGCACGATTCTACTTAAACTTTCCCTTGCTACAGATGTTAAATCAGGACCAATTTGTGCTTCTTAAAATAAAGAAAAGTTAAAGGGGGAAAAAAATCCCTCCTAGTCTTAGTTGAAAGTAGATTGTCAAAGATAGGTAGCATTTTCCTCCTCCTTCACCTTAGTCCCATCCTACAGACCATCAAATATATTACCTTTATATTCCACAGATAGATGTTTCCATTTTCATGAGCAGAAGCCAATATTGGTGAACGTTTATATCCTGAGAAGTTTTTGGATATTCCAGGTGCTTCTCCTTTGGCATCAAAGAAGCTCACGCTCTTAGACTTGACTGTCTCTTCCACTTCTCCTTTAGAACATAAATTGATATAATCAGTCACACTATATTATTACCATAGTTTTTACAGTGTGTCTTGAAAACACACATAGAATCATAGACTCATAGAAAATTAGGGTTGGAAGAGACCTCAGAAGTTCATTTAGTCCAACCCCCTGCTCAAAGCAGGACCCTCACCAGCTATATCATCCTAGACAAGGGTTTGTCTAGCTGGGTCTTAAAAATCTCCAGTAATGAAGATTCCACATCTACCATTGATGAATTTCTAACCTAAACTTCCCTTGCTGCAACTTGAGACGATTGTTCCTTGTTCTATCACCACTGAGAACAGTCTAGCCCCATCCTCTTTTGAACCTCGCTTCAGGTAGTTGAAGGCTGCTATTAAATCCCCCCTCAATCTTCTCTTTTCCAGCTGAAATAAGCCCAGTTCCCTCAGCTTCTCCTCAGCTGTCATGTGCCCCAGCCCCCTAAACACTTTGAATACCCTCCACAATGAATCCTCTCCACTTTGTCTACATCCTTTCTGTAGTACAGGGCACAAATTGGACATAGTACTCCAGATGTGGCCTCACCAGTGCTGAACAGAGGGGAAGAATCACTTCCCTCGATCTGCTTGGAACACTCATACCGATGCAGCCCAGGATGCTGTTAGCCTTCTTTGCAACAAGGACATACTGTTGGCTCATATTCAGCTTATTGCCCACTGTAAGCCCCAGATCCTTTTCTGCAGAGCTGTGGGTTAGCCAATCAGTTCCCAGCCTCTACCAGTACATGGTACTGTTCCATCCGAAGTGCAGGGTTTTGCCCTTGTCCTTATTTGAACTTCATGAGATTTCTTTTAGTCTGATTTTCCAATTTGTTGAGGTATCTCTGAATCCTAACCCTACCCTCCAGCATATATACTACTCTACTACATGAGCACACACACACGCATGCGCGTGCGCATGCACACACACACACACACACACACACACACACACACACACACACACACCAGGAAACAAAAAGCATACAGCAATGGCACAACCCTAAGAAAAATAAAGCACTTTAAAAAGGAAACTCCAGTACTAAACCAGAACACTGCTGAAGGTATGTTATAAATCCTGGGAAAGAGCAAGTGAGAAAATCCAGAAATAATCTTTAGAGCAGTCCTTGCAATATCTAGGCCAGATTACAGAGGTGGGACATGCCCTATTCAGAGTAAAGCAGCAAATTTGAAGGAGGCCGCTTGCTTGTCAAAGATCTTCATTGTAGCGGAAATGCAGGGTTTCAGCAGTGGTTGCAGATGTAGGTGGGAGTGGCCCTGCTGTGACACTGCATCCTTGGGGAGAGGATTCTAGAGCAAATCAGAATTTTTCTGATGAAATGAATTTTCATAAAAAGTGTTGGCTTTTTGAGCATGAAATAATTCATTGGATATATCTTGGTTCAACAAACTTTTACCAAAAACCAAGGCAGGGTTTCCCTGGATCCCTGAAATACCAGGCAGGAGCTGGGGACCCTGGGAGATTCCTGCAGCTGCTCAGTGAATTTGATGTTCTTAGTTTCATGACTGGTACTAGCATGTGACTTTCACCACAACCAAGTTACAAACATTGAGCTTTCTTTCAGAGCAGCCACACTACTTTTTGACCAGCTCTCAAGGATGCTGGTTCTCTTTCTCACACAAAAAGACCCTGCGCAAAGCTTGTTTCCCCACTACTTACGGCCTTGGCTGTCTGTATTTTACCCACTGCTCTTTTGTATGCTTTGGTTTTTGCTTGTAGCTGTGTTGGTCTAAGGACATAGGCAGGCTTCTTTGGGTAGATGTGATATCTTCTATTAGACCAACTGAGTAGTTGGAAAAAAGTTCTTTGCAAGCTTTCAGGCACAAACACCCTTCCTCAGGCATAGGGAGTCTCTGCTGTTCTGAGATCTCCAAGGAATGAAAGAAGCTAAATCACCAGAAGGAAAGTCCCTATGACCCAAACCACACCTAATGGATCCAGACCGTGCCAGGACAAGAAATGCAAAACCTGCCAACACATCTGCACCACTCCCACAATAACCACACCCCACAACAGAACCATCTCCATTCCTGGATCTTACACCTACACCTCCAGAAATGTAATCTATCTCATCCAGTGTACCAAATGCCCCGATGGAAAACATGCAGGAGAAACCAAATAACAACTGCACACCACCATGAACCCACACTGAAAATCCATCAAAGACAAAAATATCCAATTACCTGTGGCACACTTCTCACAGGACAATCACTTCCTCTCTAATCTCTCAGTTCTAATCCTAAAAGGGAACTTACAAAACACCTTTCATAGATGAGCCTACAAACTTCACTTCATAAATCTACTGAATACAAAAAATCATGAACTCAATATAGACATTGTATTTATGACACATTACAACCTGCCTGACATCTGATCCATCATTCATCAGGTACCTGCCTGACCTTACCGTTTACACTTTTCTTCCCCCCCACTTCCTTCCCTCTTTTTCTACCCTTTGTCTTCCTAATTTCCAGCTATTTACTTTTTCACAGACTGCCTCTTTCCTACCTTGGAGAACTCAACTACAGTAGAGTCTCCCTTACTTACCTTTGGCATTATTTCACCCTTGTTTTCCTCCTCTCTTTCCATTGTTTTCCTAATTTCCACCTAGTTACATTCTCAATGACATCCTGTCACACTTTTAGCTTCTTTCATTCCTTGGAGACCTCAGAGCATCAGGGACTCCCTATGCCTGAAGAAGGGTGCTTGTGCCTGAAAGCTTGCAAAGAACTTTTTTCCAACTACCCAGTTGATCTAATAAAAAATATCACATCTACCCAAAGAAGCTTGCTTCCCTTTGTATGCTTTGGCACTTATGCACAGGTAGCAATTCTTTTTGCCCTTCAGTATAAGTACATATGTGTATGTGCCTAGACTGAGCATATGTAGAAGGCTACTTACTGGATGGATGAACACACATGCTCATTCTGGATATGTACCTTCATGTAAATCAAGGGAAGCAGCTGGTCAGAAACCCAAATCTAGCAGGTATCAGACTTTGGAGGAAGAACAGAGACCTTCCATATTTTAGCCCCAATAATTGTGTAGTTAGGACACTTACTCATGAAGCCAGAGACCCAGGTTCTAGGTCTGTCTTGCCCTGAGGGAAATTGAACTTTTATCTCTGACTTCCCAGCATTGTGTTCTAACTCCATGGCACTATCCTATGCTCCTTTTGAAGCTGGGCCCCTGGGCAATCCAGAGAAGATGGTGTGTAGAATCAGGAGGAAAAAACACAAGACAGAGTATGGGGCTTGGTGCAAAGGATGTTGGCTTGGTAGGGAACAGGTTCTGGCTCCTGACCCCACTGGCATAGAAGCTTCTTGATAGCACTGCTCTCTATCCATTTTATCCAATGGCAATTAAATGCATGGGGAAGTTGCTGAGCCTGATTTAGTGAGGAGGGCCTAAAGCAGGGATGGGCTATTACTTCAGCTGAAGGGCCACTTAAAGATTTTTGGTGAGCTGTCATAGGCTGCAAGGGTAGCCCCGCCCCTTGACAGGTGCCCCATTCCCTTGTTGCCATCTTGGAACCAGAAGTTCTGCCCCCTAACCCCTGACTTTGCCACCAGATGTCCTTCCTCTTGCCCCAGGAAGTACTAGGGGGGGATCTTGGAACTGGAAAAAACCAAATCATATACTAAAAATCAAACATCTACTATAACTATTTTAATTTTATCTCAAAAAATATTTTTCCTGATTTACGTGTGTTTGTGTAGTATATAACAAGGTGATTGCATAATAGCTCAAAATGAAGTCTTATTTTGTATATTGTGTGTGGGGGGGTATGTGGAAAGTGTGGGGGGGTGGGCTATAGTTGGGGTGTGTATGTGTGTCTGGTGGGGTGTGTGTGGGGGGTATGAGGTTTGTGGGGGAGGTGTGTGTGGGTGAATGTGTGTGGTGGGGGAGTGGGGGCATGTGTGGATGGGTGTGGGTGTTTATGGGGGTGGAGGAGGCTGTGGACAGGGAGTGGGGGAGGCTGTGGTGAGGGGAGGGGAGGCTGTGGTGGGGGGGGCTGTGGCTGTGTGAGGTTTGTGGGGATGTGTGTGGGAGAGGGTGTTGGATTTGTGGGGTGTGTGTGGGGGGGAAGGCTGTGGGGTGTGTGTAAGGGTATGGGTATGGTGGGGTATAGGTGTGTGTGTGGGCCCTGGCCCCTCCCTCCCATGGTGCACAGCCCCTGCCACTAGCGGGCCCTTGGGGCACTAATGGCCCATGCAGGCAGAGAGTCTCCCAGAGGCACACAGCTCTGGCCAGTTCCAGGAGCTGCAGATAGTAGCAAGGTGGTGGTTCCATTGCACAGAGCTCCTGGAGGCTCAGTTGCAGCTCCCAGGACCTGGCCAGAACTACACAGTGTGGGGCCCTGCGTGATGGAGCCAAGGGCTTGGACTGCTTTCTGCTGCCACATGCAGCTTCTGAGAATCCACTGGGAACCAGGGAGCAAGGCTAAGCCAGCCTGGCTCCATCACGCATGGCTTCCCCCCAGTGGCATGCAAGTCCCAGAAGCTGTACATAAGCCATGGGGAGCCCTGTCTAATGGAACTAAGCTAATCCAGGCTCCACGCTCCTGCTGCCCTGCTGGGCATGGGCCCTGTTCTTTTGGCTTCATGCTCCTGCTGGCCCTGGCCCTGGCCCTGGCCCTGGCCCTGCGCTCCATCCTCCTGCCCAACTACAGCTTTCCCCCACCCCACTTCCTTACCTACTGCCTGGAGCACTGCAGCAGTGACAGGAGAAGGAGCCACTGGAGGCTGGGGGAGCCAAGCATTTTCCTAGGTGGCTGCAGTAGTGGCAGCAGCAGTAGCTCTGCCTGAAAGCTGTGTGCACAGGCTGGGGCCAGGGCTGGCTCCTTCCCATGCATGAGGATGGGAGTGGGCAGGGTTTGGCAGCTGCCAAATCAGCTGGCAGGCTTTGGAGACTGGACAGGCACCTGGTTGAGTTCACCTGACCCTAGGTTTGGTGACCCTTTTCTTGCCTGCCAGGGTCAGGGGGTCAGACTAGATGGCCCACTGAGGTCCCTTCTGACCCTAGAATCTATGAATCTATGTGGCCTGTGGGTCATATTTTGCCTACCTCAGCCTAAAGGCTCAGGCTTTGGCTTCCTGGGGGAGATCCCTAACTATTCAGTTATTAGGGTTAAAATACAGGAGTGCTCTCACCCTCTCTATCATTTTCCTGTGACTTATAGTTAGGTATATGGCCACATGCATTTATGCTTGCTTGGCCAATGCATAACCCTACTGTACATACTCAGTCTATGCACAAAATCTTACACAGCCATGGCAAAAAGGCAGAGCCAAATACAGCCAGGTAGATGGCTAGAAAACTGCCATTTAGATCACAAAGGTAAAGAGAAATCTGTCTCATGTCTTGACTGTCCTCTGGGAAACAGCTTGCTGTTCAGCTGGGATTAAGACGACCAGAAGAATAATTTGACAATTCAGCACCAAATGGGCATGGGGACATCAATGGCTGCACAGCTCCAATTTTTGTGCTCCCTCTCCTCCCCTTCCTGCAAACTTGATGAATGAGGCTGATGCCCTGATTCCCACCCCGCCTTTGTTCTATTATTGAAGATGACTCCTAATGGTGTTATCAACATACTGCTATTTCAGCCCTACAGTCTCACTATCTGCCTCAGCTGCCTTCCACAGCCACTAAACACCAGCTTGGGCACAACAGGAGCTGAGCAACACACAAATGGACAAGGAACTGTCTTTCATCCCCTCTGGGACTTTTATAAGCTTTATCTTACCTTCTGTATCTTCTGTTATTTTAATATTTACTTCACTTTTCAGATTCTCCTAAAAACAAGGAATAAAACAAATTAAATTAACAAATGGAAAGCAGGAGAGTACACTACTAACCCACTACTAATACACCAGACTAACACACCAGACATACCCAGGAAAGGAGTTCTGTAGACTGAAATTCTATGAGAATAAACTAAATCTGAGAGATGCTGATGTGAGGTGAGAGGTATATATTTTCCAAAGTCTCATTCATTTCTGTGGGACTAATGAGAGGGCACACAGGCAGAATATTTCTCCTTTAAAGGAGATTTTTAAGGGTATAAGTGAATTGAAGCTGGGCACTGATGTGAACTCCTCATTAGTTTATTTTAACCAACGTAGATCTGCAGCTATTTTCTTTGCATTAAGCAAAGAGGAATACAACTGCAAAATCAGCAGAAAAGTTTATCCTTGTGAGGCTCCATTTCAGGACTCCAGCAAAAATAACTTTTTGAAAACTTCACGCTGTACCTTCTCTAGGTTTGTATACTACAGAGGTAGAAAGACTTCTGAATGGCAGCACTAATTTTGGCCAGCCACTAACCCCCCTGTTTTTATTCAGAGATTTGTCCAGAATGTAGTGCAAACCATCAAGGCAACATACCTTCTTCAGGCTCACATGGCTGTATTCAGGGCCCTGTATGGCAGTGATATCACTCATAAAGAGAGAAACAATCGAGGACCTGGGAGTAGCGTGCCTGTATGGAAGAAAATGTCCAGACAAAGATGGCTCAAGATACATTATAAAATATGGGAAACCACTAACAGTTTCAAAAGCTATGTAAGAGCTATGTCAAGTAAGAATAAAAAATAAAAGGAAATGCCTCAATCTGTTAAGCTGATTTTGCAAAGAATTTAGAAATTGGCATAGGTATCTGAGCAAGATCTGCAGAGCCAGCAGTCATGGGATCTACACTGGTTTTCAGGCTGCAGAACCCCACTGAGACTGTGCAGCAAATAAGTTTTCTCTTTATTGATTTTCAAGTTAAAAGGAACTGATCACAATTCCCAGCTGTCTGTGCCACTCCTACCGTGGTGCTGCTTGATGTCACAGAAAGCAGATGTTTGATGTTTAATTGCTAGGGGTGTGCGAAATGGGCCATGCTTGATTCAGATTCAGCCCAAACTGGGGACAGTGATTCGAATAATTGATTTGAATCAATGTCCCTGATTCAATTTGGCTGAATCCGAATCTGAAGATTTGATGCTGATTCGGAGAATCAGCGATTTGGTCATAGACAAAGCTTTAAATGTTTTTTCTACATACCTTGAGGTACCAGGCACAGCTCGTGAACACTGCGATGGTGGGGCAGATGAAGTATCCCACAGGAGTGCAGAGGGCTCCCCCGTGTGCCTAGTGGTGAAGATGGAAATGGATGTACTTCTGGTCCACTTCCGGGTCCACCGCTGAGCACACAGTGAGGACCCCCCATGCCCACCCAGCTCAGCGATCAGCTTCAGGGGTGCCCCAGGTGCCCCCTAGACCCAGGAGGCATCAATTGCTGAGCTGGGGGGGGGAACAAGGGCCCCCCCCCCAGTGCCCTCCCCAGCAGACCCAGAAGTGGACTGGAAGTGCTTCTGGTTCATTTCTGGGTCTGCTGCTGAGTCCACTGGGGACCCCCTCCCTCACCGCCACACTCCTGTGGGACACTCCATCCACTCCAGCATCTCAGCATTCACAAGTCACCTGGTACCTTGAGGTATGTAGAAAAAACATTTAAAGCTGTGTCTGTGTCCAAATCATTGAATCTTTCCAAAACTCTCCAAATTGATTTGGAGGGTTCTGATTCGATTCAGAGAGATTAAAGGGTCTCCTGATTCGACTCAGATTCAGAGATTCAGCCACCGAATCATGCTGAATCTCTGCCGAATCGAATCAGTGACTGAAGTTTCGCGCAGCCCTATTAACTACCTATTCTCTTTTTCATAGGACTCCTGTTTTAGCATGGGCCTGCTCAAGGGATGAATTAGGGTTGTATAATTTAGGAGACTTGTCTAAAGGGCTCATATGTCATCTATTAAAAAGCCAGAAGGTGTGTATTATGAGGCAGCAGGCTACAGAAAGAGAAAGGATTATCTCATAGTCTTATGGCTTAGGCAGCTGAATGCTGCCCTGGAGAAGTGGGGTTTTTGAAATGTTGTTTCTATATAACTCCTATATAATACGTTTTTTGCTATGTTGTTTCTATATAACTCCTATATAATACTTGAGCAAGTCTTTCAAGAATGGATATTAGTGGCATGTTTCTCACTTTCTGGACATCTAATTTGATCTCTGATTTGCAGAAATGCTAAATGCTCACAGCTACAAGTAAAGTCAATGGAAGATGTGCTTTGAACATGTATTATTCCTAAACACTTTGGCAAAAAAAGAACCTAGCTTCAAGTTATCTCAAACTGGTTTCTCATATGTAAAAGAAAGATAATAGTTCACCCAAGTCTTACAGTGATATTATGAAAATTAATTCATTTTTGTGAAGCACTAATATTTTATAATGATATGTGCTACAAAAAAATCCATAAGGCAATAATTTTATCTTTAGAGCAGGGTTGGAATAGTAAGCAGTAAACTAGGCATAGGCCCACAAACTGAACTGTAAGGAAGAAAACTAAGGGTGTAGTAGCTGGTCCTTAAGTTAATTAATTCCCATTTGTGTGAAGAAGGAGTCAGAAAACCTATAGAAAAAGTAATAATTCTCATTTAACTAAAGACTATCATAATGTATGTACCAATTAGAGAGAATTAAAGTGTCACCACCAACCTTTATTCCTTAATGTTTCAGTACTTGACTTTACAGCATTACAACAATTCTTTTAATGTAATTTTTTGTGTATAGTGGTAATAAGCTTCCCATTTGGCCAGAAATATTCATAGACAAATTATGACATATAAATCATGTGCGATTCAATGCCTTTGCTAAACCTCATGCCTCATGTTTCATTTGTATCAAGACTTGACTCCATTTATTTAAAAACAAACAAACCAAAACCTCAACATGTGAAATCTGATCATGATATTTAAATGAATATACTTGGATCCTACTGAAAAGAAAAGGAGAAAAGGTCACTGGAAAGCTGTAATGTTAAAAGGCTGATTAATACTTTATTGAGTGGTTATGGCACATTTTAAGTGTAGCAAGTGCGTAAGCTGCTTTAAGGATTTGGAACAACATAAGACCATAAACCACCCTAAGGATTCAAAGAATATAAAGCTATCTAATTGCTTAAGTTCTTGAAAGTGCATAAGTATTTAAACCACATTACATCATAGAAACATACCTTAGTATTTACACTTTCTGAAGACATCAAAGTATGACCTTTTGATATTCTATCCTTCATGTTAGTAGATCAACTTTGCTAATTTCTGGCTAATTTTAAAATGAAACTTGGAACCGTACTACTCAATGGGTGTGTCAACACATGCTTTTACACACAGCTAAGCTTAATGCGCATTAGCCTAATGTGCATAAAGGTGATTTAGCCATGTATCTCCATGTGCACACGCTAGTGCTCATTAACGTGCATGTGTGGACCAACTGGAACTAAAGTTATTCCCAAGTCAATGGGCGCGTCCAGCACTAATAGGCATTAGCATGTCTACACGTTCGCTAATGTGATTTAGCTATTCGTGCATAAATTTGATACCTGATTTATGCAGGTATCAAATTTAGGCTCAAATAGCCTTAAATCACCATTTTAAGGTGCATTAAGGGCACGCACATGGAGACCCATGACCTTAACGCAGCTTAAATCGGGCTAACGCATATTAAATGTGCACACATAGACACATCCAGTGAGGCCAAATGGCATAGTACTTTCATTGTCTGTGAAGAGTACTTGACTATGGAGAAATAAAGAGCCCCCACCCAGAGCTTGCAGTCTTGGAAACAGAAGTTGAGAAGGTAGGATGTCTGAGAAAACTTGAAAGAGGGAACAAGCTGGCATTTTACAAGATATGACTACTAACTCTTATGAAGTAGAATTGAGTCTTTGGAGGTACAGTACTTGATTAAGAAAAAGGCAGTGGCTTTTTGAAAGGACAAAGAGAGGACATTACACTTGAGTGCCAACACCTAGAGAGAAAGTGAAGAGGAATGGCCACGCTAATTGTATGTTATCTGGATTAATCAAATACAGTTAAGACAACCCAATTCTTCTCTAGATTACCCCAGTGTAAATCAGTGATGTTGGACAGTGATGTTCGGCAGTTTAGCTGAGGAAAAAAATTAGGTTGAATGAAGTGGGTTCTTCAGTAATCTAGTGTGTCAATTTCATTACCTGGAAAATGAGGCAGGTGGGAAAAGGAAGAGCAGAGCAGTGACTCCAGATACTTCGGGGGCAGAGGTCTGATTGCACTGACGACTTCTCCACCTGAAAATAAAGATGTTTGCACATGCTGTCTCTCATATTACAATCTGCACGCCATTTCCTGATGTTCACTGTACTGAGATAAATTTAAACTGTAACACTGACATTCTGAAGAATAAAATGTTTCATTTCCTAGGGCATTTCATACCGTAAATAGTCAGGGTGTTATCTAATGGACTGGCATCTTCAAATTGGAGGCCTTTTAACTTAGGCTCAGTATGTTCTATGCCAATGCAAGCATCTCCACCAGGAACACAAGATATAAAATCTTGGAAATTGGAGGACCAGCTCAGAAGAAAAAAAACTTTCATTCCTCAAGGTCCTACTTCAGAGGTTGGGCAAGAGTTAGGGTAGAGTGGCACATTAGAGAGTTAGGAGCTCTCTAATTCAGAGAGCTCTCTGGTTCAGAGAGGTAGGAGCTTTCACAGGCAAGAGCACACTTCATCAGATGCTAGGCATTAGTATTCAAGGTAATGTAAAATAAGTTAACTTAAGCAAAGAATTGCAATATTCCCAGCATTCAATCCAGACATCTAAGTCCTGCCTTCATTATCTTGCTTTCCTATAACATTTCCTCTTTCCCTGCCTTCTGTGCAGCCCCAGTAACTGCTCTTCCCCTGAGCCTGCATAGGAGAGGACTGAGGAGCAGAGGTGCAGTTAAGCTCTTTTTTGTTGGGAACAGATAATACTCTTGTACCATGTCACAGACCCAAGAATTTAATTCACAATTGCCACTGTTAAGTCTGTTGCTGATGGCAGTTAAGTACCAAAGGAAAGACAGCATCTCATCATGAATCCGAACAACCACCATCAATTTCCTGTTGCCTCCTATCTGCTTAACTCTGCTCACCCTTTTGGGCCAGATGAGTGGCATAGAGCCCCTCTGTGAGTTGGATTTGACTGTGTGGCCCAGCACTGCACTCTCCCTGCTCTGGGTGCTGGGTTTAGATCCTTCTGCCCCCATGCACTGGTATTAAGCCCCAGTGGCCCAGCGCCACACCCTCCTGTCCCCCTCTCCCATGCTGGGATTGGGTCCCAGTGGCCTGGCACCACGCCCTCATGCTGGGACTAGGTTCTGGGAGCCCAGCACCACCTCTTCCAATATCTCATGTGCTAGGATTGGGTCCCGGTGGCCTGCCACTGCCCCCTCCTGGCCTGCATGTGCCAGGATCAGGCCCTGTGCCCCAGCACTGCTCCTGCCTAGCCTTGCATGCTGAAATCTGGCACCCGATCCAGCACACAGGGCCCAGGGCACCCCACAAGTCCAAACATCTGGCACCAGGGAAGCAGTGCCACTGTTCCTTTGCTGTCACATTTTTAGACCTGTAGAGAGTGCCAAGGCCAGATGACCAAGGGGCTGCACTTGGCCTGGGGGTTGGTGGCTGAGCATCCCTGGTTTAACCAGCGGGATAAATTAAGCCAGGCAGAGCACTTCACTAGGTAGTTCATTTAGAGCTAGTCTTGGGTGTCTTTGTAATACACTGGATTGTGCTAAGCAGACATATTCTTAAGACCCCTACTTGAATGAAAGAAAGCTTAGGCTGGCTCTTGTCTCCACACTTCACAGGAAATTACTTTTTTGAGGAGCTGATTCTGTTTTTCCTTCAAGGAATGGGCAATGAGAACAATGAGGAAATGTGTTTCTCCAGTTTAGGAGCAGGAATTAAGTCCCCCCTCACACCTCCAACCACCACCATAAGTCCTCCTTCAAGGCAGAGTCCAGTATATCTTCAACAATCAGACTGAGGGCAAGGAGACACTGCATGGAAGAGAAATCCATGTCCAAGGACTGATCTAAATAGCTCTCCAAGCTAGGGTAGAAACAACAAAGTAGAACTGGGCAAATTTTTCTTTAATAATTGATTCACTGAAAAGAGTCACCCCAAAACTATCCAGCAAAGCAGCATTCACTGAACACTTTCTGATGAAAAAAAAATATTTCAGTCCAGATTCAAAATCCAAATGGCTTTTCTATACAACTGCTCAGAGGCCAGAGCACTGAGTCAGGAGGGCAGATTCACTTCCTGGGAGAGTGTCTGAATTGTGATGCTACAGGACAGTTTGGGCATTCTGGAATGGAGAAGGGGTCTAAATCTCTCTTTCGCTAATGCTGTTCCACTTGTAAAATTAATTAGAAATTCACTGGGGCAGGGACAGAAACCAGGTGTCCCATCTCTCAGGTGAATTTTTGACTAGACTATAAAATCATTTTATCTCTTGCCATCCTGTTCAGTGAATAGGTAAGTAATCTGTATAGAATGCAATAAGTCCAACAGATCTGATATGGTCTGGTAGCCAGTTATGACTATGTAGAGATCTCAGATCAGTATCCTGTCATCTGTGTGGGCAAGAGACGGGAGGATACTGCTCAAGGGCGGACAAGTTCTTAGTTTATTTTTTAAAACATTCATTCGATTTCTGAAGGCTACTGTGGTGATAACTGTGATATTTTCAATAGCCAATTTCTGAAGTAGTTAAGTAGGAAAGAAGGTACCAGTATTTCGAAGAGAACTACATTTTTCAAATTTGGGTACAAAACAGAAACAAAAAAAATCCCAGTGAATGTCAAGATATCAAAACAATCATCACAAAGAAAAAAGAGATGAGTAAGGGGAAACAAATATGAAATTAAAACAGGTACTAGCAGTACTGTAAAACTTCACAAAGGCCAGAAATCAGATCAGCACCCACACAGCTGAAACAGACACATTTTCTACTAACAAACCTATATTGGCAAAAGTGTTAGGTTCGGTGGTGTAACAACCATCTCCTCTTTTTTTCAGATCGGTAGTAAATCAAAACCATTACTGACACCTGGAAGAGTGCAGGAGAGATGTCTGGAATTTCAACAATTTCCCATGTCCCCACTTACCCCCCAGACAAGAAAGTCTTGTCTTCCTTTCCCTTATTATTTCAGAATTAGGCTTTTTATTGCTCCACCTTTCTTACTAGGTAGGGGCATCCAGGTGGCTTATCCTCCTGATGCCAGATCATGAAAAATTGGCTGGCTGACCTACTATCTCACTTTTTAAAAGAGGTCACCCATCCCTGGTTTTATGTTAGAATTTTTCATATAGATGTGGAGCAGGTGTGGGATAAAGTAAATCATTTTGTGTGAGTGCATTTGACATCAAATGGCTTCATGCATAGCTGTACTTACAAGTATCTGACAGTGGCTGATTCAAAATCCCACAAAGTAATTCCACCATTTGCTCTGCCAGTAGCTAACAAGCTGTATTCCTCTACTTTTAACACATCAAAGCACTTTGTTTCTGAGCCAGGTGGCAGATCCTAAAAGCAGCATAAAGAGGAATGTTAATAACAAGGACACAATGTTTTGCAATGGCAAAATTTAAACATTGTAACTACTTAAAATGAATTCAATGTCTTTTATTAGACTAAAATTGCACATTTTAAAATTTGCTGTCCCTATGGGGCAGGGCTGTCCAGCTGGAAGCCTGTGGGCCACATGTGTTTTGTGAGGAGTTAATGTGCGGACTCCCTGCTCATCTTTCCTCCTATTGCTCAGGTTACAATAACAGCCAGAATCTCCAGGCTCCCCCCAAATCCTCTGGCTGCTGCTTTCTGTTGTCATCACAGGGAGAGAGGGGCTATAGCTGTGCTGGGAGGTGAGGGTGAGTCCAGGGTCATGTTGCAGAAGGGAGGTGGGGAACTGGGGCCTTGCATGCAGGGCAGGCATTGCACCGAGGGGTTGCAGCAATATGGGGTGATGCACACATATGTATGCATTGCAATGAGGTGATTGCACTCACGCAGGTTGCTGCAGAGAAGAACTGTGTTTATGCAGGTGTACAATGCAGCATGGGAGGGGGAAGCATCTGTGCAGTGTGCCTGTTGTGGCCCATACAGTACGTAGCCCCCAGGGGCTTAGAAGTTTAATGACCTTGCTACAGTACATGGCATTACAATGTTTAACACAAGAGCAAAGATCATAATTTAAATGAGTGTTGATTATAAGAAGATATTGGAGATACCAAAGTAGTTTTTGGTTAAACATTGTGGCTAAGTACAGACAGTCAAAAATCCTGAGGCTGAATTAATTCTGGGGGACTGAGAGTTAACTTGAATCTCGAGGGGATCTAGGACAAAAGTTCAATAAACCATTTTAAACTAAATCAGTTAATTCTGGTACTACATTCATCCAGGTTCATCTTAAACTGGTTTCAGTCATTTTGAAAGCAGTTTATGTTCATTGACCTTCTGTTGCGTTACAGATTTAAACTGGTTTCTGTTCACTTATACCAGTTTATGTGTAATTTTTGTCCCTACCCGGTGAGTGATGTGGGAAGGAACATCAGATATTTTAGGATGTAGGCACATTTTTTGTTAACTGAGAGGTAAGCTAGTGCACCTAAATCTCACGTACCATAGGTAAGAGAATATGCATATGGGTAGTCATCATGAGGCAGCTGATTTATGTTATTTCTCTGCCCCCTTTTCTTGTGAGGAAATGAGTTATTTTGCACATGGCTTCAGAGACAATTTTGCAGTAAATCATGGCAAATGTTGACTTTTTAGATAACCATTTTAAGTACGAGGTTCATTTTACAGATAGAAGTATCAGTTCAAGAATACATGAAGTCCTTGAAAGAACCCAGTTTGCAAGGGAGTGCTTTTAACTTCATACTTTAAGCGTAAAGCTGTCCTTACATCATTACACTTGGTGCCAAATGCTCATCTCACCACATGTATGTTTAAACAAAATTCTCAGTAATTACTGGCTCATTTTTGTGCCAGGTTAAAGATTTGGAGTGCTTTTTTTTATTAATAAGCTTTCAGTACATTAATGCAACACAAGCCTCCAAGTAAAATAGACAATGGGAGCAACCAAACAGTGCATAGTATTATCTAGAAGTTGCAAAAAGAAGATCAGAATTATTGAGCATCTAGTAGACAGCATCTGGTCTGTAACAGTGGCCAGCACTGAATGTTTCAGAGGGATGTGGACGAGACTCTAGTGTAGGTAGTGGTAGAGTAATCTGCAACTCATGAAGTTCATATTCAAATCCCTAATTTTTTAATTATAAAACCTTCCTGAAGCAGGAGGCTTTATAATGCTGCCAATACGTTTTGGTTAGCATTATTCCTTATAATGGGAAATGGAAAATTGAAACATGGGAAACTTCAAATGTGCTCACCTGTGTTTCTTCATTCTCATAACTGGAGTCAAGCAACAGCTGAACATCTGGAAAAAATCCATTTGGTTGCCTTGTATTGGGTTTCAGCTGTACACATATGATGGCATTCTTTTGCAAAAATGATATAGCCTCAGGAAGCTCCCAGGTGACAGTCAGATAAGCTTCCCCTTTATTAGTCTATTAAAACAATCCATTTAACCAAAGAGAAAAATAAGTATTTTTCCAATGAAATATATAATGACCAGTGAGTATGAGTTAAAAGATATCCCTCTTTGCCACATCATAACGATAGGAGTCTGTAACAGACCACTAGGTAGCAAATGTTGCAGACTTCAGAGTAGCATCAAGGTACCTGAGCTCGTTTGAGTACTGAAAGCAGTTTGCTATGGGCCCTGGAGTTTCTTGGTTGTCTGGAGTATGTATACACACCTTTAAAGAGAACTGGTTCTTTGTTTCATGTTGTAACTCCTCATGCATTTAGCTCTAAAGGCACTCATTTCAGTAGCTGGTGAGCGAGCAAAAATGACGGCTGTTAAAATTTTAGAAGAACCAGTTCTTTGGCTTAAACTAAAAAAAAAATAGATTAAGATTGAAACTGCACTTGAACTTAACCTATTTCATCTATTTCCTAATAAGGGATAAAATATTTTCTGTATCTAAGCCATGCATTCTGCTATCTAGTTGTCCCCAGGTTTTGCTTTTAGGATATTATTAGTGTTGTTTAAATGTTATTGAAATGCAACTACTTGGGTTGCATAACCTTACTACAGATTTCTTATAATTTAGAATGAAGCAATGCTGAAGAGAATTTTTGAATATATTGAACCAAAGAAATATACTAAGATATGTATATTTACTAAGTAGTATTATCTAACACTTTTCAGATTTAAATTTTGCTCATCATCAGCAATCCCTTGCAGTTGAGGATGATTGTTTTCTATGATTGCCTTCTGTGTCCAAAGATGATGACTGACAAAACCAATCCAGGATTGACAGGTTCACTGAAACTTGGACACATGTTTCTGAGGGGGTGGGTGGCTCCGGATTCTTGATGAAGTCTATGACACACCATTTCTGCTGCTCGCACTTTTCCATTTCTTGTTGTCATCGTGAAGTTTCAAAGTACTGAGATCCTTGCAGCAGACTTTCTCCCCATTTGGGATGGTCCTATGAATTGATGTCAATGTTGCATTTTTTTCAAGTTGGCCTTGAGGATGTCCTTAAAACACATTCTCTGCTCTCCTCTTGAGCATACACCTTGACTGAGCTGGGAGAATAAAACTTGCTTTGGAAGTCTGGAGTCGCACATCCAGATGATATGGCTGGCCCATTGAAATTGAGGTCCGATGATCATTTTCTCAATGTTCATGGTGTTTGTTTGTGAGAGGATGCTAATGTTGGTGCATTCGTCTTCCCATAGGATTTGAAGGATCTTCTGCAGGCACAATTGATGGTACTTCACCAGTGACTTGAGGTATCTCCTATATGTTGTCCATGTCTCAGTTCCATACAGTAAGGTAGGGATCATGACTGCTTGATAAACCATGAGCTTGGTTTCATATCTGATGTCATGATCTTCAAACACCCATTTCTTCTGGTGTTCAAAGACTGCGCTTTCACATTTGAGACAATGTTGGCTTTCTTCATCGATGCCAGCCTTCTGCAAGAGATGGCTTCCGAGGTACGGGAAATTCATAGATTTCATAGACATCAGGGCTGGAAGGGACCTCGGAAGATCATCGAGTCCAGCCCCCCGCCCAAAGGGCAGGAAGTCAGCTGGGGTCATAGGATCCCAGCAAGATAAGCATCCAGTTTGCTCTTGAAGGTGTTCAATGAAGGCACTTGAACCACCTCCGGTGGCAGGCTGTTCCAGACCTCGGGGGCTTGGACAGTAAAGAAATTCTTCCTTATGTCCAGCCTGAAACGATCTTGAAGTAGTTTGTGACCATTCGACCTCGTCATCCCTTGGGGCGCTCTGGTGAACAAACGTTCCCCCAGATGCTGGTGGTCACCCCTGATAAACTTGTAGGTGGCCATCAGATCACCCCTGAGCCTGCGCTTTTTCAGGCTAAAGAGCCCCAGGGCTCTCAGCCTGTCATCGTAGGGTCTGCTTCCCTGACCTCTGATCATGCGCGTGGCTCTTCTCTGGACTCTCTCAAGCTTCTCCACATCCTTTTTGAATTGTGGAGCCCAAAACTGGATGCAGTACTCCAGCTGCGGCCTCACTAAGGCCGAGTACAAGGGGAGAATGACGTCCCGGGATTTGCTTGAGAAGCATCTATGGATGCAAGCCAGCGTTTTGGTCGCTTTACTAGCTGCCGCATCGCATTGCAGGCTCATGTTCATCTTGTGGTCAATGATGACCCCCAAGTCTCTTTCTTCCATAGTGCTAGCCAACATAGCACTGCCGAGCCTATAAGGATGCTGCGGGTTTTTTTTCCCAAGGTGGAGAACCTTGCATTTATCGGCGTTGAACACCATCAGATTCACCATCTGATACTCAATGTTCTCTAGAGTCCCGCCATAAATCTGAATTACCAGAACTTGGGACTGCTCATTAAGAACTTGTGGGTAGAGGACTTCAATTTTCTTAATGTCAAGCATCAGTCCCATTTTTTGTACAGGACCTTACCATCCATATAGTAGTTTAGCTTCACTCCATCTTGAAGCTTGTTGGTGGTTAGATGTAGCATTGCAGTAAGGAATATCGAGAAGAGTGTTGGAGTGATGACATTGCCTTGCTTAACTCCAATCTTAACCTCAAAGGGATCATATTTGTATTTGGAAAGAATGGCTGCTGTGACAACATTCCACTAAGGTCTCAAATTTAACATGGTGGGGGAGGGGAGGAATAAGCAAAATGTTTGATATTTTCAAGTTTATAACAAACACAATACCTTTATGGTACACAATCCAGATAAAATCAGAAGCAGCAAGCTCATGGCTAAGAATATGTTTTACATATAAACCTTATCACTAGAGTTATGGTAATATGACTTGATACTGCAGGGCACAACCTGCTGCCCACATGCCTCTGCAAAAAGCACAGGTTCCACAGGCAGAAGCATGCAAACAGTAGATTGCGGCTCTACCCTGGCTTCAGTCCCATGCTGTCACCACTGCAAGATCCTGGCCACAGCCCTGGAAGAGGTCCTCATGCCCTCCTAGAACTGCTCCTATATCCATGGAGACGCTGGGAGCATGGGGCCATGAGGCCCTTCGTTATCATGGTCCCACTGCTCCTGGGATCTCCATGGACACTAGCCACAGTGGCATGGGCAGGGGCTGTTGGGAAATGGAGTCTAGCCACTGGCTGGATCCTCCACTTTGCCCACCCCTGTGACAGCAGTATTCAGTCATGACAGACTGAGATGTGTTTCAAATTATGAACTCCAATCTGCATTATATGTTCAATTTATTTAACCCTGCCCTGTTGACTTGCTATTGTGTGTGAAGCCCGGGATCATGATCTTATAGTCTACATACACCCATAGTTGACTGGTAGGGGGTTCACAGGGATGCACGTGCTTCCCCGATGGGGCCAGTGCCCCCTCGATGGCCAACACTGATACTGTCAGTAGGGCTGGTGCCCCCCTGATAGCTTCTGTGGGTGCCCCCCCCCTCCCCCCCAGATTCAGGAGGCACCAGTCACTCATGCATGCACCAGTAAGGTGAAAGCCATGCTTGGTGCAGATCATCATGGACTGCCCTGCATGCAGGTTTAATCTTGCTGGTGGGGAAAGCTGAATGGCTTCCTCTGCACACTGGACAACTCCATATAGGGCTGCCTAACACACAGAGCAAGCCTGTTGGCTCTCTGCCACATGTTCAATATGAAGTGACATATAAACCAGCCACAAAAATGTTCCCTGTCACTTTAATCTAGTTACATGTGGAACATTGGTTTAAGTTAACCAAGAGGAGGAAGGCCATTAGCTTCCCCCATGATACCTGCAAAAATGTGCATTGGGCAGCTCATGCAGGGGTCTATTCTTGCCAGCCACTTTAAATTGTTTCTAAGTATGGCATGCTACCATTAATTATGTGATAAATGTAATCTCTTTCAGAGACCCCTGTCAACCTCAGTTTGCTCTGAGCTACATCAAAGATCCTTCTTTGCTACGTGATGCCTGCAGACCATTGGGGACCAACGGTGTAAATATCTAGGCCAAAAAAGGCACTGTAAACAGAAATCCAAAAGTGGAAAGATAAAAGCAGTCTCAACCTATATGTGGGTATCTGAGTGTAGCAGTGAGCTTGTTGCTCTTGCTACTTTCAGAGAAGACAGGTTGCAGGAGAAGTAGGCTGCAGGTTAGACAGAAGCTAATTAAAGGAGCCACATAACCCAAAAGGGGCTGGGCTTGCAGGATATAAGCCCAGGGCCTGAGCTGGGCTGGCAATGTGACCTGGAAGCCATGAAGAGAGGAGCTCTTGAGCAGTAGGGCTGCAGCAAGCCTCTTGACTAACATCTGAGCTGAGGTAGGCAAGACTGGTAGTTTAGTGATAGTTTAGGAACTTGCCTGGGAGTGGGGCCAGGACCCAAGGGATAGGGGCCAAGACCGAGGAGCAGGGCTATAGCCAAAGAGTGATGAGAGCAGGCATGGTCAGGGACCTGTAGCCCACGAGGGGCGAGAACCATGGTCAGGGACCCATGACCTGTGAGGAGAGCGAACAAGCAGGGCCAGGGGCCTGTAGCCCAGGAGGGGTGAATAATCCAGGCCTAACCCAAGAGGGGTTGAGATTGTTCAACGTACAGAGGCCCAAGCCCAGGAGGGCCCAAGAAAGTTAAAGGAACCAGGCTGGAGGCCCCAACAGTGGTGGAGACTGGTCGAGGTTTAGAGGCCTGCATTAACAGGAGTTGACACTGGGGCTGAAGGCCCACGAATGAGAGATTGACCGGATTGGACAATGGGGTTTAATGCCCAATGACTGGTCAGATCGGAAAGGCTTGGACTTAATTAGCTTTTAAGGCAATGAGCAGTGACACCAGTGTTTATGAGTATGACATCTTGCTTGGGGAGCCCTGGAATAGTCTCCCTCTTCCAAAAAGCATAATTACATCAAGGTGTGACAGGCAAGTGGAAGGGAAGATTGCTGAAAGAAAGGGAAGATGATGAGGAGGCTGAAGGGGCTCCAGGGGCATCATGGTCACCTCCGGGGCAGGACCCTGTTACGGTGAGCCTTGGATTTTAGCATCTGAAGGAAAGGGGAGGATAACAGTTCTCTATTCCTGAAATGGAAACCTGAAACACTTGCACATGTGGATAACTTCACTTACTTGAGAATTCCTGTTTTCTTCAGTGCATGCAGTAATTGGCTAATAAAAGTGGTTGCAGGATCTGGCCCTTATCCAATGAACAAAAACTAATCTAATTACTGTGGCAGAGGGTTTGGATATTTATTCAGCAAAGCTTAATTGCTATGAGAAAAATATTAATGTTCCGGTTTGTTGGGAGCACAGAAAGAAGTGATCAGAATGCTGAAAATCTGGCAGTGGAACACTAAACACGTTAACATTTTTAATAGAAAGGAGATAATTAATTAGGTGAAATGCAGAAAAATAACATTCTTTGGACAGTTGATTCATGAAAAAAGATGTTTGGCCCTTAGAGCTAGGAGCTACAAAATGAAACAAATACCCAAACAAACCTGAACAATTTTGATCTTTCCACTCTGCTCCAAGGCCAGGATCATGTGCTGACTTTCATTAGCCTTCAGATAAACTAGCTGCAGCCACTGCTCATCTTCTCTGCTCTCTCGTGCTAGAGGCAAAGCTTTAATCTCCTGCCCACTTCCAAAATCCCAAATTTTCATTGTTCCTGAAGTGGGTAGTAGAGAAAAACACAAAAAGACAACACAAATATGTATTTCTGACTCTCAAACCTGAGAAGTCCCGAACAGAAAAAAAGAAGAAAAATCATGATTCCACATATCTTATTTCCTGGGGTCTAGAGCTTGGGATTTTTTAAAATAATGCTTCACAAAAGCCTGTAATCAGGATGCAGTGTGTTTGTAAATTAACCTACTTACAGAAAGGTTCTGCAGAAAGCGGGGAGGGGAGGTGGGGGAAGGCAGAGCGAAGAGAGCCTTGTATGTCTCGTGCAACTGAAGGGAAAATTTGGGATGACAGATTTACTTTCTTTCTGCAAACTGCTAAAGTCTTCCCTCCTAGAGATTGCTTATCCTAGCAGTTCAGAACCGAAGCTTTTTAGGACAGGCACCTTATTTCCATTTGTATAATAGATGCCTAGTCCTGGTGAAGACCTTTAGAAAGCACAGTCTTCCTACAAGTTTAATTTGTATTTCATATAATTCAAGTTGAGCATTGCTCTCTTCTGTCATTAAGCTCAACATATTTAATGAACAGAGTATTAGCACATCCAAGCCTGACTGAAATTCTCTTTAAGCTAATAGTAGAGCTGAGTGAATTTAATTTTGGCAAATCATTTTCTCTTTCACCAAAAATACAGTTTTAAAGCAGCCAGAATTAGACATGAATTCAACCCTATGTTTTGAGAACTTCCCTGAGATGCAGGGACATGCACAAAACATATCTCCCTGCTGTCTCATTCAAAGCAAGGACTTGAACATGAGTCTCTCACCTTTTAACAGACTGCCTTGGTCAAGGGTTATTTATAGTGAGTCTCTCAATTTCTCCTGTGGGAGCTGCTACATATATAAATACTTAGATATTTATTGGGGCCAGAAACAGATTAGGGCAGATTCTACTCCATCTATTTGGCACATAAGTGGACTTACAGGCCTAAGTGTAATTCTGTTCCACCTTGCTTGAGTTCCTGAAAAACTGTTAATGCAAAAGGTAGGTGGGTCCTCCTCCACCTTGCTGCTTTGTTTTGTGATTCACTTTTTAGGGTAAGATGACAGTGACAGAAATAGATGGATTTCCAGGGAATGGAACAGGGTGGAATAGAATCACATGTCGGTGTCTAAATCCACTTTGATGCCCATAAGAGGAATAGGATTTTGCCCAATGACTTCATATTTTGGGACAGACCCTATTCTACCTATTAGGTGCCTAAGTCCACTTAGATGCCTAGGTGTGATCCTATTCCATGCTGCTTGAGTCACTATAAAGCATCTAATGCAAAAGGTGAATGGCCTCACTTCCTGATTGCTGTTTTTTATGATTTAGCCTTAAGACTAAGATAATGGCATGTTATCAGAGTAGGTGCGTTACCTTTTCACAGGATCTTGAGCAGGGTAGAGTAGGATCATTCTTAGGTGTCTAACAGGAGGAACAGAATCTGATCCTTGGTGCCTAAGGCATTCGGCTGCAGGTGGGCTACTCAGGTTCCCCCCTTTCTCTGGCTTAAGCAGAGAAAGAGCTAAGTTTGGGTCTCCACATCCCAGATGAGTGCTCTAACCACTAGCTGTAGGGCATAAGAGTACTGCTACCTTTCCTTCCTTAGTTATGGGAATAGTGCCTAAGGCCCCTTATGAATCTAGACCTTTATTGCTAAATACAGGCAGTCCTTGACTTTTTGAGTTACGACAAAGGGCATTTACAACATTTGTAAATTGATATCCTGTTTCAAGGTTCCCACACCGGTTTCGCCTATACGACAGTCGACACAGCTGAGTCTAGCTGGTAAGTCTGTTGTGGTGGGGGGGAGGGAAGGGGTATGAGGGGGGGCAGATCAATGCCCCCCGCAGTGAGGGAGGGAGGGATTGTGGCTGGGACCGAGGCTGGGGCAAGCACTGCCCAGGGAGGGGGTGGGGCAGCTCGCGCCACTGTGCACCACTGGTCTGGGAGCTGCTCATGTGGCGGCTTGTCCAGCGGCTCTTGCCACTGCTCCTGCCATTGGTCTGGGAAGGCATGGAGTAGGGATGTGTGCCCCAGGATCTGTGCAGGGCAGATGGGGCCAGGGCTGCGTCAGGCTGTGCTCCTGGGTGGAAAGCAGAAGGTGGAAGGCACTGGGAGTGGGGGCTGTGCCCCACCACTGCTCGCCCAGCCAGTGCGGGGCTGATGCAAAACTGAGCCGCTGCATTGTGCAGTGGAGCTGGCCCGGCCTCATTCCAAACCGGTGGCGGGAGCAGTGGTGAGAACTGCCGGACAAGCCATCACACAAGCAGCTCCCAGACTGGCAGTGCACAGTGGTGCAAGCTGCCCCATCCCCTTCCTGGCCAGTGCTTGCCCCAGCCCTGGTCCCTGCCCCAGCCACAATCCCTCCCTCACTGCTGGGGGTGTTGATCTGCCCTTCCAAGCCCTTTTCCACCCCCTCCCCCCACCACAACAGACTTACCTATTGCACGCAGCTGTGTTGAGCATGGTAAAGGAGCCAGTCCCCCATTTGTAACATTGTTCCTATGGGAAAACTGGTTCCGAGTTACGACATTTCGACTTAAGATGCAGTTTTCAGGAGCCAATTGTGCTGTAAGTCTGAAGACTGCCTGTCTCCATTACTGTTTTCAAAAGTAGTTAACAATGACCCCCAAAAAACCATTTTTGCTTTGTACCAGACACATTTTATTAAATTCTGGACAATATTTTTTGTCAAAAAAAAGGATTTTTTAATCAAGTTGACCCCAAATGGATATTTCGGCCATGTCTACACGAACAGGGGCATGCGTTTACAGTAGCACAAACAGTAGTGGCACAAATGTGCGCTGTTACTTTGTGCTTCAGTGAATGCCCCTGCTCGTGTGGCTTGCAGTGGGAAACATTGTCCTGCTGCTCATGTGCTGCGGGGGGAAGGGAGGAGGCTGGCTGGGCCATGGGGTATTCAGCGCAGGCCTAGCTGGCAGGCAGCCCCCACGCTGAGGCACCCTGTGCCCCAGCCAGCCAGGGAGCAGCACATGGAGATGGGGGAGCAGGCAGCCCAGGACTGCACACTGCAGAGCCCCCATGCTGAGGCACCCTGTGCCCCAGCCAGCTGCTTCCTGGCTGGCTGGGGCACAATGTGCCTCAAGATAGGGGAGCAGGCAACTCCCTGGGCTGGCTGCTCCCCTTTCTCCACACTGAGGCACAAGGAGCCCCCATATTGAAGCACCCTGTGCCCCAGACAGCTACTCCCTGGCTGGCTGGGGTACAGGGTGCCTCGAGATGGGGGAGCAGGCAGCTCCCTGGCTGGCTTTGCAGCAGAGCCCCTGCACTGAGGTATGTGGAGACAGGATAGCAGTCAGTCCAGGGCTATCTGCTTCTGCATCTTGAGGCATGCTGCATCCCAGCCAGCTGGGGAGTGGCTGGCTGGGACCCTGGGGGCCTCAGCATGGAGGCTCTGCAGTATGCTACCTGCTAATTAGCAGTGTGGCAGGAGCATGGGCTGCCTGCTCCCCTGTCTCTGCATTTATCTTGGCACATAGGACTTTGGTGTGTTTTGTGCCACTTCTTTTTTCATTAGTGGGAAATCCCGGTAGTAAATTTTGCCCCCGAGCTGCTAATTAGCAGTGTGGCACATGGTTTAATGTGCAACATGTGGTGTGTGGTGCTGCAAAGAGGTTTGTGGTGCCATGAGCCACACGTGCCTAAATGTCTGGATCTGGTCTTTGTTGTTATTTTAGGTCAGCCCCTAAAATAAAAAAAAAATGTTCAAGTCAAAGTTCTAGTTTGATTGCCAAGTGATATTACCTCTGTGCTGAATTATGGGTATGCAAAAGCACTTTTCTTGCAATAGGAGAGCAATAAAATAGAATATTTCATCCCTCCCTCCTCTTCTCAGAGAGCTCATGCATACACCTTGGTAATATAGGGTTTACTAGGCATTACCAATATTGTTAGCTAGCCTACCGCTCTTTTTTATGTTTGTTAGCTAGCCTATCAGCTTCCCAATATTGTTAGCTACCACTCTTCTCTCCCTAAGAGTAGTTCATGCTTCCTGTTCCTGCTCCAGTACTGGTCCCACACAAAAGCAGAAAGGGAGGCAGCAAGAAAGATAACTTCCAATTTTGAATGGCAGCAAAAAACTGATCCTCATGGTTAGCTAGATCCTCAGGCAGAGATGAGGGCAGAAAAAGCTGGAGCACGGTTTCTGAGAAAGCAGTTTCATGTGGCCCCAACTTTAGCAGGGTAAGCAGCTTCTCACAGCAACAGGTATCATTATCTGTCTAGCCCCTAACACATATGGGAAAAGCATCTCAGATGCAGAGAGCTGAGCAAATGCTTTGGTCAGTATGCTCTGTGGTAACAGCTATATCTTTTTTGTAGTTTTTTTCATAAATGTTTTTGAGTATCCCAAAGTGTGCTACATAGGGTATTTATAAACATTTCGAGCAGAATTATGTAGTTTAGTGAAACAATTACAAAATTATTAAAAGCATGATGAAAAATTCAGTGCAGTCCTGGAGAATACATTTGAGAGGCCTTGTCTTTTCCAAGGGAGGTTGTGCTCTCCCCTACCTTGGGGGTCTTTAAGAGAAGGCTGGATAGGCATCAGCCTGGGGTCGTCTGCCCCCAGCACTGTCTCCTGCCTAGGCAGGGGGCGTCTGACCCCAGCACTGTCTCCTGCCTAGGCAGGGGGCCGGACTCCATGATCTGTTGAGGTCCCTTCCGAGCCTAGCATCTATGAATCTTGTCTGATAACCTGAAATGAATGTATGCCACATAATACGTGGGAAAAAGACTCAGCTGTGTAGTAGTATATATTCTAATGTTCATGGTCAGCAACCACTATGGGTGCTGACAGAAGTGACATTTTTCATGTGATCTGGCCCCTGAAAGCACTCCACAGCTGTGATGTAACACATGCGCAGGGTTGCAGAGTGCTTCTAAAATGGCCGATCATGAGAAAAAGTAACCCTCATTTAATCAGGTAACAAATTAAGGCGCTCTGCTCTAGAACACCTTAGGGAACTTGTATACAGTTCCATATGAGGGTTATCTGTTATCTGTCATGTCCCTAATCTGCCACAGGGAGGAGGCAGAGAGTCTCCTCCCTGTGCAGCCATGGAAGGAGGGAGAGAGTGCCTGTGCTCCCTGGCCTGCAAGAAAATAGCTGGCAGACATTCTCCACTCGGGGTGTGGTGGGGGGTGAGGCGGGGTTCAGGGAGTGTGTCCCCTCCGCACTGGTGCCATGGGGCACTATGGATATTTTCTTGATGGGGGAGGGCTGGCCAAGCCTCCCTAACCCCTGATCACTGCCCGGCTGCACCCTTGCCCCAGCCTGGAGACACTGTAGCAGTAGTGGGAAGACTGGGGGTTTGGATGTCAGCCCCCATGCCTTGCACACCAGGGTAGTTACCTGGGCTGGGGGCTAAGCGGGTGTCAGACCCTGCTTGGGGGATCAGTACCCACTCTCAGCTCGCCCACTACTTCTTGCCAGAAAGGTCTTTTTCCTACCCGGTCTTCTTGTGAAAAGGTGGTATGTGGGTGAGGGCTTGTAGTGCCAGGTCCCACAAGGCACCCCTCACATGCCAGCCCTGGGAGCTGGCCTGGCCTGTGCCACCTGAGGGCTGGCGCTGCAAGCCCCTGCCTGTCTGCTGCTTCCTGACAGTGACCAGAGCCAGTGAAAGAGCTGGTGATGGGACAGGGGCCTAGGGAGAAGGCCCCTGGTGCCTGATGGCATGGATTCTGGGGGCGCACAAGCCACCAGACCACTCCTGATTGTCCTGACAGCCAGCTGGGGGTTTCCAGAGTCCTGGTTGGCTTACCAAACAGGTGACAGCACCTCCTGCCACCTGGCCTCTGTCAATGCATGGAGGCACAGAGTCCACATGCACAGGAGCCACACTTTTGTTAGGTTTCAATGATGCTGTAACTTTAAGTGCTTTGTGTAAAGCACTTGAAGTTACAACCTGATCGATATCTTCTGTAAGTGCCCTATAAAGCTGAGTTCCACTTTCATTTTAACGACCTTTTTCCAGTTACAGACAATTCTCTTATTAATAGTCTTTTGGACTGAAGCATCCCCTGCTGAGAATTTCCTCAAATTTTTCTCCCAAGTTTGAGCAAAATTGGTTGCTTACTTTTGACTCAGAAAAGATTTAAAGAAAATGCATTCGGCTTATGTTTTTATTCTGAGGACTGATTCCTTTCTGAATCAATAACATTTGGCCAATGTGGACTGTTGCCAGAGCCATTGCTTTTGCATGGCTCTGCACCTCAGGAGATGAATACCACTTCCATTTGCCTTTCTCCGTGCCAAATAGAGGGGCAGGGGAGAAAGTGGGCAAATGGTGGAGACAACATTCACCCTTTGGGGTCCTGAGCTGCACAAAAGCAGTAACTCACACGTGCAACATACAGCTGAAGGGGGTGTGACTGCATCACTCCACTTCCTCCGAATCTGTACCTGCACCCAAACATAATGTCTTGTTTGTTTTAATGTAGCATTTTGGGTTACAGGAGTTTACAGTGTTCAAGGCTGCTCAGTGAGAGATGGTGGGGGGTAGTCTGTTGAATTCATAATACTCAATTATGTCCTCACAAGCAGATGGAACCCTAGTCTCACATCTCTTCCCCTTTCTTAAAAGAAGACCGCCAGGAAAACTGAAAGTTGATGTTTATCCTCAATACAATGTTAAGAACTCAAGCACATCAGAGTCAGCCAATGCTAAATGATAACGAGGTTTCCAAAACAAAGTTAAATGCAAAGTTACACTCCTAAGCTATTTTCTTCGGGATTTAACAGAATTAATTTTCCCTGTTTCATTTGACCTAAGAAATATATATCACAGGGTTGCTTCTCAGCAGGATTGCTGGGCGCCCAAACTACTTCAAGGTTTATCCACCAAAGTTTGACACTGAGAGACATTACACATGGTTTTGTTCTTGACTCTTATTATATCTGGGAAGTACAATGCTGTAGGTTCAAAGGAGACTAATTACAGTCTCTATCCCTCATTCCATTTCAGCTGTAGCTCCTAGGCCCTTCAAAGGAAGATCCCCTTAAACAAGAAGCTTGCTAGATGGCTGCCCCCATGCCTGTACAAATAGCCACTTTTTCATGAACCTTTAAATCACCTTTCCCAGGCCTGATGCCTAAGTTGGACCCAGCTTTGAGTTATCTTTTCCCAGGACTGACAACTCACACACTCTTTTCAGGTTTGGACAAGTATTTTTCATCTACCAAAGCAGGGGTGACCAACTGCTGGCACACAGGCCACAAGTGGCATGGGCACCCTCTGTGTTGCATATGGCAGATAGGGAAGGGACAGGCAGTACAGTGGCTGAGGGAACAGAAAGCAGAACAGAGGATTGGATGGGGGAAGAAAGCTCAATGATTTCTTCCCTCTGTTTGTTCACCCTGTTGCTTAAAGTGACAGGATATGCTACACTACTGTGGCTGCAGCCTGTGTAGTCATACCCAAGGTACCTTTAGCTAGCTCAGGTACTGATAGCAGTATAGACAAAGCTCAACGAGAGCTGAAAAGCATATCTGAGAAGCTGGGAATATTTGAGCAATCCACCTACTCTGTTCTCTGATGCTTTGGTTACTGTGCTATCAGAGCTAGCTACTATAGTGCTAGCTACTATACCTCTATCAGAGCTAGCTACTATACCTCAGTGACTACAGTGTAGGGATACCCTAAATCAGCATTTAAGTTGGGAAAGTTAGTTTCTGGCCTTTCTTGCACATTATAGCCCAACCTAATTACTATTAATGTTAACATTTAGTACAGAGGAGTGGATGAGGTAGAGGTTTGTGCACAGAGCATAGTACTGGTTTTCAGATAGTTCTTGACACTGGACTAATGTTGAACCTTAGTGCAGTCTGATTTCAGGTGGTTTGAGGAAAACTTTTCAGAATCTGGGTCACAATATAGTTCCATATTTTAAAGAGAGGTTAATTGGACACTCATAACTATTTAATTATTTTACCATCACATGCCCCTGTAGCAAAATGAAAACCACTTTTCTCAATCACTGCACATGTTATTTCAATATTCGGCCCATGGGCATCTTCAATCTGGTATACTTGATATCCTGTTTCGAGTTCCCAAATCTATAAAAAATTAAACTAATTAAAAAAATACATTTACTTTTCATCCTACCAAATGCTGCCTGTCCCCTTGCCCTCGCTTGTCTTCCCTGTCTCTCACCCAGCATCCTCCCACCAAGCCCATCTCTCCCTTTTACACTCAGGAGCCATATCTGATTATTCATTCCCTACTCAAGAAATCATTACTTGATGCTGACTCCTCAACCAGTTATCACGTCATCTCCAACTTCCTTTTTTTGGGAAAGGTCACTGAATGGGTAGCTGCTCTATAGCTCCAGGTCCATCTAGATGCTTTGTATTCCTGGACCCTTGTCAGTCTGGCTTTTACCCTGAGTACAACACAAGGTAAAAGCCTTGGCTAAAGTTGCCTTGGTGGTTGTGGTTAACAATTTTCTTATATAGGGAAAACTGTACCCTTCTGATCTTACGAGATCTTTCAGCTACAGTTGATACAGCTGACCCTGAGGTGCAGATAAATGATTTACATGATCTAGTGGTTATTCACAGGACCTTGTTTAATTGGTTCCACTTTTTCTTAGTAGGGAGGTCCCAGAGGGTGGGGATGGGTGAATGAATGCTCATAATCCCCCTCAGCCCTCAGGACCTTTCTGTGGAATCCTGCAGACAACTCTTTGGTTCACCTGTTTGATGTGTATATTGTGCAGAGATTTAAAGTGAGGTGCCATCAGTACGCTGATGATGACTCCCAGTTCTGCTTCTAGTTCTCATTTGATAAAAGCCCTGAGGTCTCTGTCCTTTCCCAGTGCCTGGCTACAGTTGGGGATTGGATGTGGGTGAAACAATTGAAGCTGAATCCAAAACAGACAGAGGTGATTGTGATGGGCAGACCACTTGACTTGATGGGGACTGGGACACCTATCAAGGGGCTCAGCCTCCTCTTGTCACTTAGGTTTACAGTACTGGGGTGCCTCTGGATACTCTACTGTACTTGGAACTTCAAGGGGCAATGGTGGGTGTATGAGTACCTTTCCATAGCTCCATCTGGTGAGAAGCCTGCAACCCTTTATTTCAAGCTGTGTGATCTGACTGTCCAGAAGCTGCAGCTGATGCAGAATAAGTGACCTGATGGCAGTGTGTCACCAGGAGCATTTAACAGCAATCCTCCAGCATCTGTACTGACTTCTAATAGTTTTCCCAGCACAATTTAAGGTGCTGGTTCTGACCTGCAAGGTTCTAAAAGATCTGGTCCCTACATACTTAAGATACTTGAGCAGGGTGGAATAGTCACACGTAGGGTGTGAATAGATGAGGCATTTCTCCCAAGAGAAAGCCTTTTGTCCTGGGACCTTACAGATATACAGTCTGTTGTCCTACTTTAAGTACCATGGAACAGGCAAGATCAAATGTGCTAACACTTTTTCCCTGGGACAATGCTGTGTGCACCTGTAAGTTAATTGCAGCTGATTCAAGTTAATTACCAATCATTCCACTGAGGCATTCTGAGATTTCACAACTGTTAAACAACTTGTTTGCTGCCATTACAGGCAGTCACATATTTGTGACTTGCATGCAGTTATACCTTCACAAAGAACACGTGTACATAGTCATATACATACCCAGCCAGTGGGCAGCCATGCTCAACCTAGGCATCTACAGCGAAGGGGGTAAAACAACTGCAACCCATGTGTAAGTTCCACAAAGGTCACTCACCTGGCTAGAAAACTGATGGATAGGCATACCAATGGAAATAGAAGCCCAGCTTAAATAGCCAATGGTAGATATTTAATAGATTATGTTAGATATGCATATAAAGCACATTCTGCTAATGGTAGAGTATGTCAAAGCCCAACCACAGGAAAATGAATTTACAATTAAAACAAGCACCTCCCCACACCTGATGTATCTTCCTGTTCCCTGGAGTGAAACAAGACACTAATTACATCCATTCTGCTGGTCAGTTAAAAGGGTTGTCTGATACAAGTAATGCTGAGGAATGTAAATAGATTATTTATCAAGGATTATCACTTCCCAGGAGTATTATTGTGTAAAAATATCTCCAAAGAGAATGGCTTGAATACCAAACATGATTAACTCTTATCTAATCGCTCAGTAATTTTTATAAGATAAAAGAAATTGCAATTTTTCTTTTTCAGTGTGAAGGGTGCAACTGAATACTCACCTTCACAATAGATTCAGCACAAATGGTGAGAACTTGGTGAAAAGCCCAGTTGTAAGCCAGTACATTAATGCTTTTCTCATGTGTTTGTGGGATTTGTTTTGTATCTTGTATCATATGGGTTAGAGGATAAATATCAATGACAGATGATCCTATAGATGGTGAGACAGACAAACATTTTGTGACTGTATCAACTTCACTTCCAGGATATAGATAAGCTTTATGTAAATCATAACACTTAATTTGAATTCTTTAAGAAATATTAAGAGTTTATTGTCTGTGGCATTAGTTCAGGCAAACGGTGGCTATCTGAAAAAAGTAGAAAATATTCATCCCTCCAAGACTAGCATTAAATAATTACTAAAGGCCAGATCTTATTCCATGTATTAGGTTTGTAAATCACACTTAAACAGTTAAGAGTTTAAGTATAATTTGATTCCAAGTTTGTGCAAAACTGGTAATCCAGAAGCTGTATGGCCCCTCCTCCTCCTCGCTACATTTTCTGACTTAATGATAAAGCTCAAATGAAGGCGCATTAAATGGCCATGCAGGAATTCAAGCAGGATGGGATAGGATCACAATTAAATCCATGAATGATAATCTATATTGCTGCAGAGGTCAGTACCAGGGAGGATAGTCCTTGGCGTGTTGCACCACTTGAATCCACTAAGAGGCTCCAGACTCAGATATTCATTAATGCAGCTATTTCAGGCTTGTCCCAAGAAGCTGATTTTCTCTAGTGAATCTCAAAGAAACCATGGTGAGGAGCACAGAGCAGCCTCCCCAGCAAAATTCTAAGTATGGAGAGGCAAATTCAGCTGGGACTGGCTGCTGCCATGGTGAAGAGAAGGCTTTAGATGCCTAGATGAAATAGAACCTGCCTCTAAATATTCTGCTTGCTTAGACAGCCATCTTCCTAGCTTCTATAGAAATAGCTCCCCTAATTGCACCATCAACAGGAGCTATGAATCCTGGGGTCCAAAAATAGGTCAATATGACATAAACACTAATACATGTCAACCTGATTGACACAAATCTCATTAAAATCAATTCCAGTATCCAATTCCCACTAAATAAAAGAAATCCATCTAAGTCAGTTTTTTCAATGCCTCTGTTTATACAGCACCAAAAGTGTGTGCAGCATTTTGCAAAATAATGAAAACATACAGGCCCTTGATTGGAAAGGTAACAGTCTGTGAGAACCATGACGAAGACAGATGAATGAATTTGGTTTCGAATTTGGTTCTAGCCAAAGGGGACAACCTGGTGGGAGATCTGAGGATTGAGGGTAATCTGGGAGCTAGTGATCATGAGATGATAGAATTAACTATCTCTTGTAGGGCAGGAAAGTCAGCCAGTAGGGCAGAGGTGCTTGACTTCAGGAAGGCTGACTTAAATGAGCTTAGGAAAATAGTGGGAGAGACCCTATGGGAAGAGAGACTGGAGGGGAAGGGAGTTCAGGAAGGGGGATTGTTCCTCAAAGGAATGGTCCTCAGAGCACAGAAAAGGTCTATTCCTGTATGCAGAAAAGGTGGTAAAGAGTCCAGGAAGCACTCTTGGCTTACCAGAGGAGTCAAGGAGTGCTTAAAAAAGAAAAAGGAGGCTTACGGACAGTGGAAATAAGGGGTAGTCAGTCACCAAGGAGGAATGCACAGGTATAGTCCATATTTGAAGGGAGAGGATAAGGAAGGCAAGGGTGGTGACTGAGATCAGGTGGGTGACTGAAATCAGGGATAATAAGAAGCCCTTCTTTAGATATATAGGGAGCAGGAGGAAGACCAAGGAGAATGTGGGGCCCAGCTGATAACAGACAGAAGAAAGCTGAACTCTTTAATGAATACTTTGCATCAGTGTTCCTGCATGCAAATGGTGGTCACCCGCCTGCTTAGATACTGGATGGATGCTAGAGGGGGTGGGAGGGAAAGGGTTATTGCCAACTAATAATTGGTCAGTGTTGAACTGGTGAGGGAGCACTTAGAGCAGCTGAATGTTTTCAAGTCGGCAGGACCAGAAGGGACTACACTCAAGAGTGCTGAGGGAATTGGCTGGAGTCATTGCGGGACCATTAGCAAAGGTATTTGAAGACTTTTGCAGCTTGGGAATGGTCCCAGAAGACTGGTAAAGGGCCAATATGGTGCCAATCTTTAAGAAGGGGAAGAGGGAAGATCCAGGAAACTATAGGCTGGTCAGTTTGACCTTGATACTAGGTAAAATTTTGGAAAAAATGATCAAGAAATCCACTTGTGAGAGACTGGCAGAAGACATGATGCTGAAGGATAGCCAACATGGTTTCATTGACGGCAGGTCGTGTCTGACCGACCTCATCTCCTTCTATGATCACGTAACGAATCGTTTAGATGTGGGTTGATGGTTGATGTCATATGCTTGGATTTTAAAAAGGCCTTTGATATGGTCTCCCATGACCCTCTTATAAAAAAAACTGGAGGATTGTGGGCTGGCAGAGTCCACAATCAGGTGGGTTGGGAACTGGCTAAGGGGTCGAACCCAGAGAGAGTTAGTGGACAGGTCTGTATTGTCTTGACAGGAAGTGGCCAGTGGTGTACCGCAGGGTTTGATTCTTGGCCCTGTGCTGTTCAACATCTTTATCAATGACTTAGATGAGGATGTGGAAAGCACACTGCCCAAGTTTGCAGATGATACTAAGTTATAGGGAAAAGCGGTCATGCTAGGAGACAGGATGCAGATCCAAGCAGACATGAACAAGCTGGAAAGGTGGGCAGAGTAGAACCGGATGCAGTTCAATAAGGATAAATGCAGAGTGCTTCATCTGGGAAGAAGTGGCCTGCAACATGAATATAGGCTAGAAGGGGAGATGTCCTGGCCAGTACAATGGCTAAAAGGAACCTCGGGGTTATAGCTGATCACAGGATGAACATGAGCTGCCAGTGTAACGCTATAGTCAACAGAGCTAATAGCATACTGGGATGCATTAGCTAATGCATCATGAGAGGGCTAAGGAAGTGATACTTCCTCTCTACTCAATGCTGGTGAGACCCCAGCTGGAGTACAGTGTCCAGTTCTGGGCACTGCACTTCAAAAAAGATGTGGAGAATATTGAAAGGCTCCAGAGAAGGGCCACAGGAATGATTAAGGGCTTGGAGGACAAACCTTGTGAGGAAAGACTAAGGAATCTGGGACTGTTCAGCCAGGGGAAGAGAAGACTGAGGGGAACTTGGTGGCCCTCTATAAGTATGTAAGGAGTGAATATTAAGAGCTGGGAGAAAAACTGTTCACTACAGCACCACAGGGGAGGACAATGAGCAATGTCCCTAAACTGTTAGAGGATGGTTTCAGGTTGGATGTAAGGGTGACCAGAATCTGGAATAGACTTCCCAAGGAGGTGGTGCAGTCCCCAACCTAGGCAGTCTTCAAGAATAGATTGGACAGACACCTTGCTGGGATAATTTGATCTCAGCAGTATTCCTGCCCAGAGCAGGGGAGTTGGACTTGATGATCTTTTGAGGTCCCTTCCAGCCCTTAATTTCTATGATTCTTGAGGAAGAATCAAAGCTTTCCATATACAACCTCACAAGCCAGTGTATAGTGTATTTTCAATGTAACCTAATTAAACTAGTACAAGAGTAGGGGGTTAGCCATGGATATGCAAGCAGAAAAGGAACTTGCAGGGCATTTGCAAGGGAAAAAAACCTAGAATAGATTCTGTGGCAATATGGAAATAGAGCATTAAAGTGTACTGAGCTCATCTATAAATATTTGTTTTTATAATGCTCTACAGACATCCAGGGACTAAACTCTTGAGATCTCTTTTATAAATACAAGTAAGAAACAGGATTAATTTTCTTATGTATAACCTAGATTTCTTGTCCTTTCTAGAAGGGAGGAATAATTTTAATAGTATGATTAATACAGTCTACAATCCAGATTTGTAAAGGTATTTAGGCACCGCTCCACTCAATATTTCCAAGTCCTATGTGACCAGCTCCTCAAAGACGTTAGGTGCCTAACTGCCATTGATCAATTAGGATACAGGACTGAGAGTACTTCTCAACGTAGCACTGTGCTGAGCTGCCATACTTGGTTCTGAACCACAAGCAGGACAGCTGTGTTAGCATGGTACTGCATGCACAACAATAAGTTTTGCCTCTCAGGTATATGATTTCTGGTTTGAGAGTTGGCAAATGAAAAGCAAGCATAATATGTTCTCAGCCTGATACTGCCTTGCATCATATAGCCATATACTAAGTGACTAAATTTAAGGTGCTTTTGGAAATCCAACTAGATATCCATCTGCAACTTTAGGCACCTACATACCTTTGAAAATATGGCCCTTAGCTCTCTGCTTGAAAGCTCTAGGAGCCCTGTCTCTGTCTGGTATCATTTTCAGGATCTGCAGCAGAGTTCCTAGAAACCTTGACAAACCAAAAAATCTCAACAGTCACAATGGGAGCAAGGCTTTTGGAGTTTCTAGGCTCGTGACTCCAAGCCTGGCTGTCTTGAGATGAGCTTGCAGGATCTTTCCCCCAGTAAGGAGGTTTTGGGTCCCTCAAAAACTCAGAACTCAGCTGAAGAAGATCAGTGGATAATAATCTGCCTGGATGGGAGGCTTGGGACAGCTGGAAGTGATGAAAAGCTACTGAAGGTAGATTTACAGATAGAGTTAAGAACTGAGAGGTGAATGCTGGAGAGAAGCCCAGACTTAAATCTGATTCTCTCATAAAAGCTGTAAGGGACAGAGGGTTTTGGGCTGCGTTCTTCTGTTTTGTTGTGGACACAAGGTTGTTTTTGTGGAGAATAAAACTGGTCTGAGAAGCTGAGAAAGAAGCTATGCTTATCCAAGGCAGCAGGGTACATGGCCCACTTATACCCTCATGTAATTTGCCAGGGATCCTGGTACCATCTAGATGCTCAGTTAAATCAACACCTTTTCAGGTTTTTTGCCTTTATTAAAAAACCCTCTCCTGTTCCTCAGAGCAAAACCAACAAGAATGCCGTTTCACTGAATAGCTCAAAGGCTTGGGGCTCTTGCAGTTTGTAATAAATTGTCTGTGTCTATGTCTAATTTAGGCAGAAATAAAATTCTGAAAAAACAAAATCACTTGTCAGTCAACTCTAGCTATAACATTCTCTGAAGAATTGGGACATTGGGTTAAATATCCCTCCCCATGATTTAAAGCAAACAATGTTTAAAGTCTAGACTTTGCAGCTTGAAGGTCAAAATGGAGAGAGGAGCAAGGGACAGCTTGGGTGCCAGGGATGCCAGTAAAAACTCAGATTTCTTGAATCCCAAGCTTTGTCTTACCACAAGATGTTCTGTCTCCTTCGCTATTTTATACCTCTTACATGTGCTGAGAATCCAGTGGTCCTAAACACAACCAGATTTACTGAATTTGGCACTAGGCATGCTCACACACAAGGCCTTGTTACACCTTATGCTCTGAGGCACACAAATGTTGATGGTGCTATCTTGGAGTTGGAGCAGTCACACCCTTAGTTTAGAAATGTTCTCTGACTGTTTCCCACCTGCACAGCTGTGACTTGTCACTAGTGGCCTAGTGACGAGGGGCAGGACTAGGAGCTGTAGCTGTGATCTGCCACAAGAAGGCTGCTGAGCCAGGACAGGCTTCTATCCCTGCTGTTCAGGTGGCGGTGAGAGAGATCCTGGGATACTGGAGGACTTGAACCTGGGCAACACATCTGTGGGGAGTGACCACACCTCAGTGGAACAGGAGCTGGGCAGTGCAGATCAGAGATAAACCTGCCCTGAAGTGGCGCAACTTTGAGCCACATCATGACACTGAAAACCACTTTAAGGTGTTAATGTGCAGACAATCACTCTCTAGCTATTTGTTTAATAACATGGACAAAATGAAGAGTATGCAAACTAATATACTAATTAGATAAATGTACCTGTAATCAGTTTGCCGTGGGTATTGTCAAATACCATGGCATAAATCTGCATTTCTCCAGGTCTTCCTTGAATATCATGGAAGACCTGAAGTAGCGAAAGGGTCTGTATATCCCACACTCTAAAAACCTGGAAAAAAGGAAGAAAAAAACCCCCCATTCAGTGTTGCTATTCCATTTCTAATCATTCATATTTTGTTTTATGGTCACCCTTAGAGGCTGCAAAAAAAGTTAGGGTTCTGTTCTGCTGGGTAACTGCATAGTAAGAGAGACCTACCCTAGAACATTTAAAATCAAACTAGATGAGAGTAGAAGTAGCTGAACATCCATTTTAAAGAAGGTAAACAAGGCAAAAGAGACGGTCTCTCAGTGATAAAATCTTGCAGCAGTCAGGACTTAAACTCAGATTCCTTGAGTCCCAAGCTGCTATCTTAACCAAAAGATGCTCTGCTTCCTTCACTATTTTATACCTCTCACACACGTGCTGATAATCCAGTGGTCCTAAACACAAGCAGATTTATTGAACTTGGTGCTAGGCATGCACACACATACGTACACAACTGTTCTTAGTATTACCATGTTACATTGCCTTCAGTGATGAGATGACTGGTTCTGTGAAAGTGGGGAGAGCTGTGACTGTGATATACCTTGGCTTTAGCAAGGCTTTTGATACAGTCTCCACAACATTCTTGCAAGCAAGCAAAGGAAGGATGGGTTGGACAAATGGACTAAGTTGGATAGAGAACTAGCTAGATTGTCAGGCTCACAGGACAGTAGTCAATGGCTTGATGTCTAGTTGGCAGCCAGTATCAAATGAAGTGCCTCAGGGGTTGGTGCTGGGTCCAGTTCTGTTCAATATCTTCATCAGTGACCTGTAAAACGGGATGGAGTGCCCCCTCAGCAAGTTTCCAGATAACACCAAGCTGGGTGGCATGCACTAGATATGGTGGAGGATAGGGCTAGGATTCAGAGTGACTAGACAAATTAGAGGATTGGGCCAAAAGAAATGTCCTGAAGTTCAATAAGGACATGTGCAAAGTCCTGGACTTAGAATAGACCAATTCCATATACCAATACAGACTTGGGACTAACAGGCTAAGCAGCAGCTCTGCAGAAAAGAACCTGGGGATTACAGTGAACAATAAGCTGTGTATGAGTCAACAGTGTGCCCTTATTGCAAAGAAGGCTAGCAGCATACTGGGCTACATTAGTAGAAGTGTTGCTAGCAATTGAGGGAAGTGATACTTTGGCACTGGTGAGGCCACATCTGGAGTACTGTGTCCAGTTCTAGGTCCCCCACTCAGAAAGGATGTGGACAAACCGGAGAGAACCCAGGAGAGGGCAACAAGAATTGTTAGAGGGCTGAGGAACTTGACTTCTGAGGGAGACACTGAGGGAGACACTGAGGGACCTGAGCTTGTTTAGTCTAGAGAAGAGAAGACTGAGGGGGGTTTTCAACTAACTGAAGGTTGATTCCAAGGAGGATGGCGCTAAACTGTTCTCAGTGATTTCAGATGACAGAACAAGGAGCGTTGCTCTCAAGTTGCAGCAAGGGAAACCTAGGTTAGATAGTAGGAAAATCTTTCTCACAAGGAGGGTAATAAAGCCCTGGAACAGGCAACCTGGAGAGGTTGTAGAATTTCCATCCTTGGAGGCTTTTAAGACCTGGGTAGACAAAGTCTGGGATGGCATGATATAGTTGGGGATGATCCTGCTTTGAACCGAAGGTTGAACTAGATGACCTCCTGAGGTCCCTTCCAACCCTAACTTTCTATGATTCTATGTTATAATTACTAGAACCCTATGGTTTTAGTGTAATGCCCCAGCCCCATGTTGTATTATTCAATAGGATAATTTAGATAAGGATGATCTTGCCTTGAGCAGGGAGATAGATTTGATGACCTTCTGTCCTCCTGTCAGCCTTACTCTTCCATGATTCTATGATTTTAAATAAATGGTGCCTTTTTATCTACCAAAAACTTGAGCTGGGTGAAATTCCAAATGACCAGTCCCCAGGAAATTCCAACAATTCAAACAAGGCGGTATTACTATTCAGAATAAATGTTAGAATTTTAAACATTTCTACAGAAATAAAATTCTGAAAATGTTTGTCTTGAATTTGAATAATTTCAGCATGGAGCTGGTTATCCCCAATTCTTGTCCTTTTAGGAGTTCTGGTTATGTGAAGCCAGGGGTGAGCAATTATTTGGGCCTGCAGGCCACATAGGGAGTTTTGCTGAGCTGTTGTGGCCAGGTCAACACCCCTCTCCCCTCCGCACTATGTAAAAACTCACCAAAACTTTCTATGTGGGATGGGGATGTGGGCAGGTGGGAAGCAGTGTTTGGGAGCAGGACAGGTAGATAAGACTGAGATTATGGCGCTGGGTCATAGCGCAGTGACATAGTGGGACCAGGGCACAGCCGCAACCTGCTGCCCACATGCTCCTGTGATAAGCACCGTTTCCGTGGGCAGGGGCATGGAGATAGTGGACTGCGGCTCTGCTCCAGCTCTGGCCCCACGCTGTCACTCCGTCAAGATCCTACCTTGAACCCCAGATACAGCCCCATTACATCTGCCTGGCCACATGCCCTGCCTATGTGGCTCCTGGCTGGTCTCCAGGGAGACCTCAGTATTGTGGGGTGGTATCTACCTGGGTCTGGGGCAGAGCCATGATGCACTCCCAACATATCCTGGCCTTGGCCCCAAGCTGTCATCAGCCCATGACCCAAGGGTCTCCATGGAGATTGGCTAGGAACTGCACAGGTAGGGCACTCAGTTGGGTGGGCAGGAAGCTGTGTCTGGGGCCAGAACTGGGATCTTGGGGCAGTGTCACAGCACGGGCCCAGGACTAGGGAAGAGCTTCTATCCCTGCACTTCCCTGCCCATGGAACCCACGCCTGTCATACAGGCATGTGGGCAGCAGATTGTGGCTCTGCCCTGGCCCTGCCCCTGACCACATGTTGTCACTGACCCAAGATCCTGCAGTCTTTCTGGCACTGAATGCCCATCTTGCTCCTGGATACTGCTCCCTGCTGGCCCATAGCCCCATCCCAGCTGCCTGGGCAAGTGCCCTGCCCACAGGGGTCTTGCCCACTGATGGTGGGTGTAGGGCAGATAGACCAGGATGCCCAGACAGTGGGGCTGGGTGTGGCACTGGCAGCCAGCAGGAGCCATTACTGCTGGGACTACCAGGAAATGGAGCTTGGCCACTGTTCCATGCCATCTCAGCCCTTGCATGCCCAGGGGCAGTGGGACCAGGCTCACACACTATGGCCCGGGCTATGCCTCTCGCCTGGGGTGGGTGGGACAGTGGGACCTGCCACAGGCCAGATAAAATCCTTCAGCAGATCAGGTCAGGTCCAGTCCATGGGTTGTGTTTTGCCCACCCATGTGCTAATCTATAGTTATGCTAAGCCATAGTTAAGCTAAGGCACCAAAAAAGAGCTGGGGAATAACAGGCCTCCTTGACCTCTAGATGACTCAGGAAGAAATGTAACAAGTAAAAATTCATTAATGAGCAGAGAAGCTGGTACAAGAAGGGATGAGTAGTAGGGCTGAGCGAAGCTTTGGTAGCCGATTAGATCTGGATGAGATTCGGCCTGATTCAGCAGCTGAATCTCTGAATCTGAATTGAATCAGGAGACCCATTAAAAGGTCCAAATAAAATTGGAAGCCTCCAAACTGATTTGGAGAGATTCAGAGAGATTCGGAGATTTGGAAGGCTTGCAGCAAATAGAAACTGAGAAGAGGGTGGGGGATGGGGTGATCTTCCATATATGGAAAAGGCTGAGAGGAGGGGACAGACTGCTCTGATATTGACATCTGTAGCTGGCCAGTGACTGTGATCTTTCTCTGAGTTCCCTTCCAATCACAGTGCTCTGGGGGAGAGATGTAGAAACAACGTATAAAGCTGTGTTGCAAGTGATCTGTGCTTTTTGTGAACTGTCTCTCTCTTGAAGCAGCAGCGGCTGAAAGGCTCTGGCTCACTAGGTAGTCTCTTGATAGAAAGTCTGTCTTCTTGTAAGTTGTATCCAATCCTTTTGTACTTACCCTTGCCTACAATCCCTATTTTTATCCCTATCCATTCCTTTCAACTTATTCTCCTCCCACAAATCCTCTTATTTGTTCTTGTTAATCTGTCTTGATTCTTTCCCCCCACAAAAAGAAATCTGTGTTTTCCCTGACAGTGTGTCATCACTGTGTAGGAAAGTGCAACATATATTACACACACACACATTTTGCAGCACACCAAACATTATGGAGCGTGCTGAAAAGGCAGGTGTCAGATCTTCTGGCAGGGGAGGAAAAGGGGCAGAGGGAATGCTGCAAGTTCCCCCTGCCCAAAACATAGACACACCCTCTTTCCTGGCAGCGATGAGTCTTCTGCTGATAGTGGGAGCAAGGAGGTGGTAGCAGTGCCTGCACCTGCACCTGCACCACCACCACGTACACCACTAACTAGCAGCAGCATGACATTCTCCACCCCAATTTCAGTTCCCAGCATGAGCCTTCCCATGCCAGAGGAGAAGCTGGATCTGGAAGCAGAGGAGCTGAGGGCCATAGCGAAGGAAATTCTGGGAAAGGAGGGGGAATTTGAGTTTGTGCTCCACATACCTCAAAGTTCCCCTAGAGGCAGGTCTCCTTCTCTGGAAGACACTTCAGAGGAGGTTGTGGGGGCAAGTGGCTCAGCTCCTCCTGTTGTTGTGCTTCTGCTTGGTGAGGAGGGGGATAAAGAAGGATCCCCGCCCTCAACCCAGAAGCAGGTGTATAGTGTAGTGTGGGATCATTTTGAGGTGGCAGATGATCCCAGATATTCTACTTGCCAGCACTGCTGAAAGCAGATCAGTTGTGGCAAGGAGGTGAAACACTTCACCACCATGGCGATGCTGCTGCATCTCAGGAAGCAGCACCCCCTTGCCCTTGTTCCTCTTCAGCCTGGCACCAGTGGGAGTGTGCCAAAAAAGAAGTCCCCCTCTCACTCCAAAGCCCCCATCCCCAAGAAGCAGAGGCAGGCCACCCTGGACCAGTGGGGGAAAGGCTGAAAAAAAGGCGGGGTGCGTTCCCAAGGTGCGCGAGGTCACTCAGAGCATTGGGGAGATGCTTGCTCTGGATGGTAAGCCCTTCTCCTT